CGTTCCAGTCATGAGTCCGCTCCAGTCCATGAGTCCACTCCAGAGCATGAGTCCACTTCAGAGCCTGCTCCAGTCCATAAATCCGCTCCAGAGCTCACTCGAGGCCCAGAGCTCAGTCCTGTGTTGTTGTCAGCCTGCGAACTCTCTGCCTGTCCTGTCATGGCCAAGGAGGCCATCTCTGAACTCTTAGCCTGTCCTGTCATGGCCAAGGAGGCCATCTCTGAGCTCTTCGCCTGTCCTGTCACGGCCAATGATGCTGTTTCTGAACTGTCTGCCTGTCCTGTTACGGTCGCAAAGGCCATTATTAATCTCTCTGTGCTCTCTATTCCAGTCCAGCCTGAGCCATATTGGTGGTCCCCTGCACCATCAGCTCCATGGAAGTGGTCCACAGCTCCTCCCAAATCGGCGGCATCCACTTCAGCTCCTCTCAAGGCGGTGGTGCCCACTTCTGAACTCTGTCTGTTCTGTAACAACCAAGGAGGTCATCCCTGAACTCTCTGCCTGTCTAGCTATGGCCAAGGAAGTCGTTCATGAACTCTGTGTATCCTGCTCAAGAGGCTGACCCCGAACTCTCTTAAGTTCCCTGACACGGCCTCTGTGGCCAGCGCTAACCTTTCTGTGCTTTGTGTTTCAGTCTTGCCTGATCAGCCGTGTTGGTCACTAGTTCTGCCAGATCTGCTCTGGGGGCCTTCGGCTCCGCTGTGGTTGACATCAGAACTACCTGCTCAGTGGTTCTCGACTACGCCGTGGTGGTCTTTGGCCCTGCCTGCTCTGTCGTGGTGGTCTTCTGCTCCACCATGGGTATCTCTTGTCTCATCTGCTCTGCCGTGGTGGTCATCTGCTCTGCCATGGAAATTTCTGATCCCATTCTGCTCATCTGTGGTGATCATCTGCTCCGCCCTGGTGGTCTTCATCTCCGCCTGCTCTGCCCTGGTGGTCTCCTGCTTCATCGGCCCTGGCTTCCTGCTCTGTCAGCACCGCCCTGGCTTCCTCTGCTCCACCACCCTCCTGGACTGTGTTATTTCTGGAGTGTCTGGAAGCCGCTCCTTCAAAGGGGGGTTCTGTTATGAATCTGGTCCCTGTCATTCCTCCTGCTCACCACCAGAGGTCTCATCTCCATATCCTCCCGGACTCCATTTTCCACAATCCCCACTCTAGGAACTAATTACAGACACACTTGTTTCCCATCAATGGACTATAAAAGCTGCACACTAACACACTCTCATTGCGAAGTCTTGTTTTGCTACTGCAGACAAAAACTGAGCGTTTTTTCGCTGTCTATCTTGCTTTGTTTTGCCTTGTCTTTTTCTTGCCTTGTTCTTGCCTTGCCTGTGTTTTTTGACTCTGGACTGTTCTCCTGGTTTTTGATCATTTGCTGCCTGCTCTGACCAATTCCTGTTTTTGTGGTTTACCCCTTTGTCTTACCCTGGACACTGTTGTTTGCTGGTGTTTGACCCTGCCTGTTTTAACTACGCTCTATTTTAAGCCTGCATTTGGATCCTCAACTCTGTTGTAACGCTCGTCCGTAACACCAGGCTTACCCAGTACCTGAGACAAATTTGAGTGATCGGAAGTGCTTGTGGCCATGGGTTTTGTATAGAGTACAGCCATATATCAACAAGAAGCATTAAGAGAAGCCCTGGAAAAGATAAAAGACTGGGAACTGTAGGGCACCAAAAAGGGCAGAAAACTAAGGAATATCAGAGCAGACACTTTCTTCCCTATTGTTTGTAGAATTAAGCAAGTACAATTTTCCATGGAACGGAGTAAAGTTTTCTCATGGAAATGCCAAAAACGTGAGCAAAATATCATGATGATGTTAATCACAACCTTTATTATCAGAACAGCAGTCATATTAAAGTAGCAGATTATTTCAGTATTAAAGGAATAGTTCTACCATGAATCAAAATTAGATCACCATTTAGGGGGTGTTTACACAACACTGTTTTCAGCTAAAAACTTTTTAAAGTTTATTTACAGGCCAACAGTGTTTGGGGGGGCCTGAAGATGCATACTTTTGAAAACGGGTTTCAAAGTGCTTGTTTTTGAAACAATGCTATTTTCGTCTCCATGTAAACAACAAAAACACAAATTTGTGAAAAAGGTCATGTCATGTGCATACGTATTACACATTCGTGTAGTGTTTCTTTACAAAGCAAACTTTTCAAAAAAGCAAAGGAAAAACTTTGTTTTTAGTACATTGTTGTCATGTAAATCTACCCTTAGTGACCAGTATCATTCCAACCCCTGCAGAATGTTCACATTGCTCTTTTACATACAATTAAATTGAACAGTGATTAATACTGCCACGCTCCAAAAATTCATCATAAATGTCACACAGGAACTGTAATTTTTCACAATAAAATTCAAATACTTTGTGGTGAAGTAAAAAATTACATTGTTAACATGTTAGGAATAAAGTGTCTTGATAGGGGTAAGGGTAGGACAACTATTATGTGCCCACAATACACACAACTGTGCGTCCATCCATCCATTTTCCAAACCGATTACCATCTGTAGGGTCATGAGAGGGCCAGAGCCTATCCCAGAATTTCAGGCCACAGGCAGATAAAAACCCTAGCCAGATGGCCAGTCCACTCCAGAACATACAATAACACCTACGGACAATTTAACAGCACTTGGAGCAAATATTTTTCATCTGAAAATGTATTATATACAATATCCAGTAAATTAAAAAAGAGAAATGTTGCTGAAATATTATAAGGGTGCATCATGCATATAACCATGTATGTGACAAATAAAAATCTTGAATCTTGAATCATAACTCAATAATGTTTATGAGATTTTAAACAACAATTGTATAGTTTTTTAGTGAAAATAGTTCATAAACAGAGTTGACCCTTTAAGTAACAGAATTGTAAAGTGACAGAATTGACAGAATTATCCGGTGGACTGTCTATTCTGTTACACTATTGTCAGCATTGTTACTCTACCTTGGTAACAGAGTTTGACGGTAACAGAATTGACAATTTTATTTATTTTTTGCCAAAAACTCCCCTTGCTAGCATAAATGCTAAGAGTACATGGCACTAATGAAATCATGATTAAAATACGTTTAAATAACCCAATTTGTGATAAGTAATACATTTAGTTTTCCTTTTGATATTTTGGTAACAGCGTTGACGTTCTTCAAGATAACTCTTGGTATAAGAACTTTTTAGATTAAAATATTTTCTCAAAGAGAGCACACAGACTTGCCAGTGCTTCAGATCTAATCGGTGAGGGAAAGTGACATCATTTCCTGTATCTTACGTAGTTGTAGGGCTGGACGATATGGCCAAAATTTATATCACGGTATATTTCTTAATTTCGGTCGATATGATATAATTCCGATATCGATATGAACACTATTATTGTCCAGCCCTACGTAGTTCTGAGAGATAATTCCACCAATTTAAAGGCAAAGTATGGCACGGTAACAGAGTTGACGCAAGATTTATGGACCCACATTTTTATAACAATTTCATGTTGTAGAATTAAGTAAATTAGTATTTAGTATTTTTCATTCATAAAATGAATGAAATATTACAAAAAGAAAAGTACAATAAAATATTTTGATTACACAATGATACACGATGGAATAAATGCACTGACTAATTCAGACAACAAGAAATCATGATTTTCAGCTATTCAAGACACTTTTTACACAAATTATTATATTGTTATTGACTGTAACATCTTGTAATTCATAACAATAAGTAACAAATTATTAAAATAATAAAAAATGTAACCATTTGAAAAAAAAAGCTAATGACTTCGGACACCAAATGTACCTGCAATTATAGAAGCACCCACCTGCTCACTGTCTCACGGTCTCATGTTCTGAGAGATAATTCCACCAATTTAAAGGCAAAGTATGGCACGGTAACAGAGTTGACGCAAGATTTATGGACCCACATTTTTATAACAATTTCATGTTGTAGAATTAAGTAAATTAGTATTTAGGGCTTTTACAAATAAAATGAATGAAATATTACAAAAAGAAAAGTACAATAAAATATTTTGATTACACAATGATACACGATGGAATAAATGCACTGACTAATTCAGACAACAAGAAATCATGATTTTCAGCTATTTAAGACACTTTTTACACAAATTATTATATTGTTATTGACTGTAACATCTTGTAATTCATAACAATAAGTAACAAATTATTAAAATAATAAAAAATGTAACCATTTGAAAAAAAAAGCTAATGACTTCGGACACCAAATGTACCTGCAATTATAGAAGCACCCACCTGCTCACTGTCTCACGGTCTCATTACCTGTGTCCGAAACTGCTCCCTAGCCCCTACATAGTGCACTATATCAGGTGTCGGCCATTTTGTAGTGCTGTCCGAATTCTGAGTGAACGAGTTCATTCCCAACATTCGTTCACTACTTTTTACCCACAATCCTCTCTGATTTTGCATGTACAACTGATGTACACTCGCTGAAGCACTATTTCCCATAATCCAATGCGGAGAGGACAGACGAGCTGGAAGAGAGAGCGGGAGCACTAAACTGCCATACACTATATACAGTGAACGAGTGAACGAGTGAGCGAGTTCAGACACAGCTATTGTGTGTAAAAGAGCAGTGTGAACATTCATCAGAATTTCTCATATTGTGTTCTATCTAAAAGAGTAAAGTCACGTTTAGGGGGGTGAACTGTCCCTTTAAATGATGGCACGCTATAAGCACATCTCTTATGCATTAACATTTTGACCCCTGGCCCAGGCTGAAGCATATGCGTCATTCTAGTCGTCGCACATATGCTGCAATCAATGAATGCCCAACAGTGCATGACAACGCGCTTCAATAAGCGGTGAACTCATGCATCTTAATGCACAGGCTCAGTTATATGCCGCAACATCGGCACAACTCTACCCTAGTCACTAACTGCACTCAAAGTTCATACCTGAACTCATATGTAACGCATAATAAATCAGTGATCACGAGGAGACCGCCGCAGCGGGTCATACAGTAGCCTACCTGCGGCGAGCCGCGACGCGTGCGTTCTCTGCTGACACCGCGCTTTCGCTTTCACTGACCCCGCGCGCTGCAGGAGACCGTGTCGCGTTCACATCTGACTGAAGAGCGGCTGCGCTGTGCCGGGGTGCGTGCTGGAAGTGCTCGCGCTGGGTCGCCGCTGAACAGATGCACGGACATTTCTCCTGTCCCGGACTCCTCGTGATCACGTGACCGCGTTGCCTCCGTGATGGAGCTCGCGCTGATGTGCGTTACGGTAAACATCCCGTATCGGAATCACCTCTCTTCCTGCACCAGCGTGCGCATATGCGCCTTTAAAATCTATGAGATTATTCATAATATTTCAGCATAGCATTTAAAAGATATTTTAGAGGCTCGCTGATCTTCCTTGTACCAATATCATGCTCGAACTCATGCATCTTAATGCACAGGCTCAGTTATATGCCGCAAGATCGGCACAACTCTACCCTAGTCACTAACTGCACTCAAAGTTCATACCTGAACTCATATGTAACGCATAATAAATCAGTGATCACGAGGAGACCGCCGCAGCGGGTCATACAGTAGCCTACCTGCGGCGAGACGCGACGCGTGCGTTCTCTGCTGACACCGCGCTTTCGCTTTCACTGACCCCGCGCGCTGCAGGAGACCGTGTCGCGTTCACATCTGACTGAAGAGCGGCTGCGCTGTGCCGGGGTGCGTGCTGGAAGTGCTCGCGCTGGGTCGCCGCTGAACAGATGCACGGACATTTCTCCTGTCCCGGACTCCTCGTGATCACGTGACCGCGTTGCCTCCGTGATGGAGCTCGCGCTGATGTGCGTTACGGTAAACATCCCGTATCGGAATCACCTCTCTTCCTGCACCAGCGTGCGCATATGCGCCTTTAAAATCTATGAGATTATTCATAATATTTCAGCATAGCATTTAAAAGATATTTTAGAGGCTCGCTGATCTTCCTTGTACCAATATCATGCTCATTTTTAATTGAAACACATGCTCCTGTTTCAAGCTAAGCTCCGCCTCTTTTTGATAGTCATTGATGATGAATTTATTGTAAAACAGTCAGCAACAATAATCATTCCAAAATTATATGAACTATTAAAAATATGAAACTTAAAGCCGTAAAGTTATTTTTTGTATCAGAATTTTGTGAAAGCGCAATTCTCTCTCACACTCTCTCTCTCACACACACACACTCTCTCTCTCT